AGTGATACCCTGTCTCTAAAAACTAGCCAGGTGTTGTGGTGGGTTCCTGTAGTCCCAGGTACTTGGGAAGCTGAAGCAAGAGGATCACTTGTGCCCAGGAGTTTGAGGTTGTTGTGAACTATGAAACCATGGCACTCTACTGAGGGTGACAAAGTGAAATTCTGTCTCAAAAAAAAAAAAAAGTTTCATTATTTTCCAATAAAGTTAGAAAAATTGTCCTGAAGACTAAAAGAAATTATAATCCTACTGCTTAATTGGCAGGCTGCCATTTATAGAAGATTCCTCAAAGTGATTGACCCATATGTTTTGGCAAGATTAGGAAACTGGTCAAAGTTTTGCTCAGCAAGTATAATCTGTTTTGTGTAGCTTTTTAAAGGTAAACTTTTGAACATATATATACATATTCTGTAGATATTTTAAATCAATTTGCTGAATGTGCTAAAGCATTCATTGCATCTTCAATGACACTAAAACATTGTTGCTAAAAAAGCAAGATGATAAAGTGTATATATATACACATCACATATATGACATATATGCATATATATGATATATGTAGGATATATATGTATATAAAATAGAGATAGGTAGGTATAAATGGAAGAAGTTTTTTAGTTACAAAATAAGTTAAGAACTCTAAGGAAGACATAGATTCATAAGTGATGAGATCTTTTGCAGGATAGAGACAGCCCATACTTCATTATATAATACATTCCTAAAATATGTTTGAACAATCAAATGTCTGAAAAAATAGAATTTATATATATTTTTTTAATGGAGTGGGTGTGATGTTTCATTTTTGGAAAGCTAACAATTAGTACTATATTGTTAAATACCACCTCTGCCTGCACTGCCTCTGCCTCCCAGAGTTTGTGTGTTCTCGTGGGTGGATGTGAACCTTCATAGGCATCAAGAGAGGCAACTGCAGCATAGGATCCTGCCAGTTCTGGGAAACAAGAGGTCAAATCATGAGACTCCCTCTCTCACAGGATGTTCTTTCTGTCTGATTCTTTCCAAGGGGACTTTATCTGAATGTTGGGCAGTTTGCAGCCATTAAATAACCTGAACTAAATGACTATAATGTTATAAGCATGGTGAAGGAAAAAAATGGAGTTGGTGGCATGGGATGGGTATCCCACATGGATGGGACCACTTAGCCACCAAGGTGAGGTGACTATCTTGCTGCCTTCCACAGCAGCAATATGAGTTGCCTTTTTGTGTTCTCATAGCTTTGGATTGAGTGAGGACTGAGGAGCAAGGAGGAGCAAGAAGAGAAAAAGGAGATAGAGTTGGATAAGGGGAGTTGGCCATGGATGGTGATAATGTATGAATTGATAGTTTGAGCTCTGCTATGGTCCCAGGAATCTGCATAGCACCCCTCAGTATGGAAGAGAGAAAGGAGGATACAAAAGATTGTGGGTACACTGTGGTGAGGATGGTCAGAAAGCATTTTGCCTTTTAGCTTGGCTGGTGCGCCTACTAAAAATAATCTACAAATGTCATAGCCACATCAGGAAGCTGATCTTCCTTCCTTTGATCAGACTCCCATGGGTATCTTCAAATCATTCTCAATCAATTCTGATGTAAAATTCTGAGTTTGGCCTATGAAAGGTGGTTTAGAGTATGATTGACAAGACCCCAATGTATCTATTGTATAAATGTCAAGAATCACCCTCATTATGGAAATGGTGAGAGTACAGTAATGAACATCAGTATCTCTAAGTATTATAATATCCTTTGGCCACATGCAGGGTTACCATAAACTTGCAGAAATTATAGCATTACAGCCTTATAACCATCTTGTCATGAGCACTTCTGCAGGAGAAATACCAAAGTTAAACATTACTTCAGGAAAATGTTGATTTCTTTTCTTTCAAAACTTTATTTTTAACCAATAATACTATTTTTATTAAAAAATCAAGGAAAAACTACAGTTCCTAAGGTAAGTATCTTTTCTGGCCAACTAGGGAAAGTGAGTTGTTATTCTTAATTCATGTAACATAATTAATTTTATTATATATGTGGCACTTAGATTACAATTTTGCTACTGATTTTTGTCTTCCAAAATTTATACCATTTGTTCCTTAAGTTTTTTTACTATAAGAAAAAAATACTAGAGCATTGATGGCTTTTGGAAACATTCTGTGATTGTAATGCAATAATTTGCTTAAGGTAAAAGTCCAAAATGTTCTTTATAGTATGGTACTAGTACAGACCGTCACCGATTCACTGATTCATATCCAAATTAAGCTGCTGCACTATTTAGAAAGATTATGGGAATATAGGACCAACTTAATGACATTAAATTTATTCATTTTCTTTTTACCATTGTGATGCTCTAGTCAGAGTTCTTAAGGCAATGTAACTCTGCAGAAATGGTCTTTTATTAGTACTAGTTCAATTAGTACTAGTAGTTGAAACTTTTGAAATAGCCTAGATTTTATGAAGACTTTTTAAAAGTGAAAGAACAAAAGTGAATTTAATCTTTATGGGAACCAAAGGAAAGGACTCTAAGCCTTGATTAGCCTCATGATGGTTTATACACATCTAATTCAGATTCCTTGTTTATCTAGTCATTTTCTCTGCTTAAAGTTTGTTAACATGATTGCCACCCTATTTATAGTTAGTGCTAAATGCAAGCCACAGGCCAGCTGCTGCTGAATGAGAAGACCTTTTATTCTAAAATGTTTAATTATCTCTTTTAACCTGGGAAAGTATGGGCAGAAAGATAGTAAGCTATAGCATAAGAACAATTGAACCAAGTTCTATTAAGTTTGATGCTTTTCCTCAATGGTGAAATTGATTCTCCTGGTCAATACCATAGAGAGAAAAAAGAGGTAATCCTGCAGAGAAGTGGGGTAGAAAAGGATGCAATTCAGCAGGACTTGACAGTAGGATTACTATCTCGTAGTGGCATACGTTCTAAGAATAGTTCTGTTCCTGGCCACTTGTAAATGCAAAAAAAAAAGAAAAAAAATCACAATTTGAATGATTTTCCATTTTGCTTTAGTCACAACATTGGTTCTGTTCATTTTCTTGAGTAATCAAGAGTCATCTAATAAAGCATTTAATTGGTAGAAAGATTCATGTGAATGATAAGATATATTGTTAGAATTAGCTATGTGACTCTAGTTATAAAAATTTCTATGAACATGTAAATACATTCAGTAAGGCCATGGTGCATATATACACTAGAGTGCAAAATAGTCATAACACAAAGTGCTCAAAAGCCATCTCCATGATAGTTGTTTGCACAGTTACAGCCCAGCCTGGACAGTTATCTTTCCTGGGGATGCAAGAACGTGAAGTCTGCCCACACTTGGGATTCAGGTTTATATTGAGGCAAGAGGTGTTTAGAAAATTATCCCCTGACTGATGCCACAATTCAAGATGGGATAAGGGATTTTCAAAGAGTTAAAGGTCACCAGGAGAGTGTCCAGCAGCGAACAATCAGACTCAGGATTGAGACATAAATGATGAATGGGAAGGGAGCAGGCAGAAGATTTTCTGGGGAATGGCAGTGGTTCCAGTGCCATGATTTGGGTATCCCTGGGTATCACCCTTCTTCGTTCCCAGTCACTATGAGCATGTGACAAATGGAAAAGCACTCAGGATACAAGGATAGCTTCTGCTCTCGGGCCTGGGGACATACGTTCTGACTATAAGAGCAGAGGGAGTATTTGCTTACCAGCTTGAGAGAAAGGTGAGAAGGAAAGGTCTGTAAACAAAATAACCACTGATGGAAGCGTAAGATCCCCAGGGGTGACTGAAGTCAAGGGGCATCTACCCCAGAAAGAATGAGCAGCAGCCTGGGTGCCCTGAAGGGAAAGGAGGTGAGGCAGTGGCAGCAGAGACCGTTGCCCTGACTGACTCTGTGGTTTGGTTTAATCTTCTCCACAAACCCCACTTTGTGAGAGCATTGGAAAGGACAAAAGTAGAAAGACTGAGAAATTCCACAGATGTAGGAACTTAACGTTATATAAAATCTTCAAATTAATGTTGTTGAAACATTACTTCTTGACCTGTTTCTGGACCTTCTGACAATTTCTTTGCAATAATAAATTTGAGGGTGAAGATGGTGAATAAATCTCATTTTTATTATCATTGGCTTCCTAGCTCTGTCCCTGGTGTTTAGATTTCATCTGATGCATCCTAGGACCTCCAAAACTATCCCAGAACTAAAGTTAAGTTTGTCTCAGCCTTTCAAAGATTGGAGTAGGCAGACAAAGTAGCATGAGCTAGAGATTTACAATCAGCTAGAGATTTACAATCACCTGTAATCAAATAGGTCTATTAAGAAAGGTTTGAACAAAGGGCTACCGGATTATAGTAGTTCCTAGCGGAGAAGGCAAGATTCATCACATATAGTAGCCATATCACTGAGGGAAATTCACATCGTCCTGACTTTGACAAGGGGGTTAGAAACTTCCAAGCATAAAAAGCAATGACAGGTTAGAGGTTTTATGGTATCTTTGGGCCTCATCTGGTTCTGGGCTCAAAGGCAGCACCATTTCAAAGATTATATGGAAGGCTGAAATGTGAAATGTGGTATGAGCAGAGTGGGACCCCATAAGAGATACCATAATGTGTAAGTGGACATATTGATCTCATTTTGCAGACGACATTTCTCAGAATGTCAGCTACTGTATAGGCAAAGGTAGAGGTCCTTGCAGTGGTGGCAGTGATAATTACACAGCTTGTGCACTATGGAATCTCTTTCAGTCATTTCTAAAAATCAACTAAGGAAGTGAATATTGCAAGAGAAAAAAAATATTTTAATTTATATAGTCCAAAGACCACAGGTCACTAGTCTCTGAGCATCTAGTGTATGGAAAAAGCAAAAGTACCCACCAAACCCTCTGGGATTCCAGGACACTCTCAGATTGTAGCTGAGATGGTGCCTGGTCTGTTGCTCCACCTCTGACTTCTCCACATGCATGAAACCTGAGTTTTCTGGTCTCAACAGTGTAATGAGGTCAAAAAAGATGCTCCATTAGAACACAGAAGACCTGGCCTCTAGCATCAACTTGTCTCTGGACTAATGTAAAGGTCAAGTGAGTTCCTTCTTGGTCATCAGTTTCCTCAGCTTTTAAAAAAGATACTGAGTGTAGAAGATTTCTTACATTTTTTCCAGCACTGTGAATCTTTGAATTTATGAATATTTTGAGAAACCCTTGCTTGGTTACATTCTCTACCTATATGACAATGCCTGTTACTCTTCCTGTGACTCATCCAATAGCCACCAAATTCTGTGTGACTCAGTTTCCTCTTTGAATCAATGTTGACATGGCAAATTTCTGTTTCATTTAAGGGAGACCAATACATGATAAGGAACTCTTTTTTTTTCTTTATTTGTATATTTCCTTTTTGAGAAACCAGTTTTGACTTGTAAAGCCAACAAATCTTTTGTGGAGAGCAAGTCATTTTTCTTTGTAAGAAAACAGGCAGATTTCTCATAACAGATGATTCAAGATTCCTGAAAGGTTTAAGTAATAAAATAATTATGCAGAAAACAAAAACCACTTAGACATGAATGATATGGTATTACTAGAAAAACATTGTATTCTCAGCCTTCATGGTTACATCCAGTGATTTTAGTACTTGTGTTTTATTTTTTATTTTCTGTGACTGATTTTATGTATTTGACTGGAGGAAATATTTTGTAATGTTTCAAAGCCTTTTTATTGTGTGTGGTGTATTCTAAATACTGATAAATTTCAAAATTTAGTTTTGAAAATTGCTTCTAAATGAGTCCCTTAGATAACCTCACTGGAACCCCTTTTTCTCATCTATAAATTGAAGAGGTTGAAATAGCTAATCTGTAAAGGTGCTTTCCAGCTGGAAAATGTTATGATTTGATGTCGCTTCTCATTTATCACACACAGTGAGAACAACTATTTTTGTGGCCAGGCACAACAGAAAACTTAATGATAATGCCTTCCACCGGGGTCTAATTAGGGCTTTGAGATACAAACTTGATTTATCCTAAGGTCTTTCTCATGGATGTTAGTTGGATGGTGGCTTTAGGAACATTACTAGGTTTGAGTGAATTCCAAAGCATCTTTATTTTATAGCTCCAGTAAATACTTGCTTTCTAATAGAGTCATACTGATTTATAGTTCATAGTGTAGAAGGACTTTGGCAATGAGAATTTTTTTTTTTTCAAGGAAATGTGACGAATATATTTTTCATGGGTTACACAATTTTATAGCCAGAAGGGATCCTAGGAAATTTATGCAGATTTTTCAGTAAAGGAACACTGCTAAAAATAAGATCATATAAGGCCCTGATTCATTAATAGGACATCTGTATGAAGATTTTTCTAGCAGAAAGAAATATTTTTGGATTAAATAATAAAAGCTAACCTGTTTCTAAGATCAAACAACCGTTACTACCACTATTTCTGCCAGCTGTGGAGAAGTAAGCCGCAAAACACAGAACTATTTTGAAATTGGTATTGATTAATATTTTTCAATTTATACTCCACGGACATTAGGGCTTCAAAAACTTATGGCTCATAATTGGGACTTGTATTTAAGTAAATTTGAGAAACACTGGTTTCAACAAAGTTAGGTCTTATTTTGACTATGCAATTTTTAAAAGCCTTAATATTGTAGGGTTTGACATTTAATGCTTGTCTTCAAATGAGGGACACAGTGCAGAGTTTTTAAAATAAATTTATTAACTAGGGAACTTGTAAGAATTTTGATTCACACTAAAATATAACTTAATAATGATAAAAAGCATTATAAAATTTCAAATTCTGATCTATGCTATCTCAGAAAACACTTAGCTTAAAAATGTTTATAGTTTGAGTTACTTGTGTCTCTAAATCTGTGTCTTTGTGTATGTGTGTGCGTGTGTGTATTTATTTAGTTATGTATTTCAATTAAATAGCAATTTGGACAAATATTTAGAGAAACTTTTGTGATAAGGCTGTTTGCCTTTCTGGTTTTCCGACTGTCTCCCAGGGTTATGATTTCAGTTTTTGACTTTCATCTGGGCTCTCTGTCCACTTTTTAACTTTGTACTTTATATCTAGAATTCACTCTCTCACCTTACTCTCCTATTATATAAAACTGAATGTGACTCCAGCCTATGTTCTTCATCCGTTCCCCTCTCCCCTTTTCTCTTTCTCAAAACCTCCAAGTCATTGCTCGCTCTGCAGCCCTAGCTCAGGAAGCAGTGCTGCAGCACGCCCGAGGTTCTGTCCCGAGTCTGGAGTCTGGGGCCATTCTGAACTCCTTCCTGTCCCTACTGATGACTAACAGATAATTACTGAGACTTGTTGATTTTTCCTCCTTCTCATCTCTTGAATCTACAAATGGTGTTGGGAAAACTGAATATCCACATGGAGAAGGGTGAAATTGGAGCCTTCATATACGAAAAGCATCCTCTTTCTATCTCTGCTGCCAGGAAGTTTGGGTTAAGTTACTGCACTATTGTAGTAATCTAATTATCCCTCACATATACTCTTCCAAAAAAATACTGTTTTTCTTATTGTCATGTTAATAAACATTTAAAACACAATGTGATCATTTCTCTCCTTCACTTAATTATCTTTTTATAGCTACTTGCTTAGAGGACAGAACCAAAATGCTTAATACTGGTTACAATGCCCTAAATGATCTTAGCATTCTAATGTTTTCTGATGCCAAACCATCTTTCGATTATTTAAATCAACTTTGTTAAAGTATAATTTCAGTTGCAATAAATTGCACCTGTTTTATAGGTACGTTTTGCTAAGTTTTAACAAATGGATACAGGATATAGGACATTTCTGTCTCTCCAGAATATTCCTGTGCACTCATCCTAGTCAACCCTAAACCTCACCCCAGGCCTTTTTGGTTTCCATGATTCAGTGATTTTTTTCAGTTTAAGTGGAAGATTCCCTGAGGATGCAATATTGTTTCCTCTCTCGGGGATTCTCTTTTCTAATTCCAACCCCAAGCACATACCCAACTGCCCACCCACTCTCATTCATTCATTTTTAGTTTAAACACCATTTCTTAAGTCATTTAGAAGGCTGGCTATATATGAAGCACTTCATAAATTATTAGTTATTATTATAATGAGTTGTAACTTAGCTTGAAGAATAGGATGGATAATAGTTCTGGGCAATTTTTTAAAAGTCACATGCTTTCTCTTCATCTGTTGAGATAGTATGATTTACAAAGTGCGATAGTTTTGAGAGAGGGTATGTTGTTCATTCTAACATTTTTCTTAAAACAGAAGAACTCTTGTTTGTTTATTATTCGTCATTCATTCATTATCATTTACTCATGGAAAAGTTGTGAAAATAGTACATTTTTGATCTATTCTTAAGATGCCATCAAAAGTAGGATTTAGGAACAAAATGGATCATTTTGTAGGTAATACGTTCTGTAGTTGTAGGTTACCCTAACTCTGTGTTCCTATTACTGTCCCTCAAACAAGGCTGTCTTTCCTCAGCTACTGAACTGTAAGTAGATAAAGAGAAGAGAGAGCAGAGGAAATAATTGTTTTATTAGGGCTTATCTATTATTCTTTATCACATATTTCTCATTGAGATGCTTAAAATCTATGCTATTTCATCCCCTGATTTATGATTTTATAATCTCTTATCTTTCCACTCATCTTTTTACCACAGTGCTGCCATGGCAGGATTTGTTTAATGAGTGTGCTCAAATGAGGCCAAGAGGGAAAAAATACAGATACTCCTGGATAACTTCTTATACACCAAATTGTTCTTGATTATTGAATAGAGGTAGGCTGGGGCCTGTGTTGCCAAAGGGTAGTAAGGAACTGAAATTACATAATTAAAGTGTTTCTGCTGGTCAAATTAACCAGAGGATAAAGTGATCTATAATGTGGATGAAACGTTATTCAGGCTCATTCCGATGTGATTTTTATGTTCAATTTAGAAATGTAGGAAAACATATAAATACCCACCTACAACACTATACACACAAGTACAAATCATTTTCAAACCGTCTGCTTTTCATTCTTTCTCTTTATTTCATTTGCAGCCCATGTTTTTCAACATACTGGGACCCTATATGCGTGCATTTTTATAACTTTCCTTTTAAACTCAATATGTTAACCCTCCCTTACATCTTTTTTAAAACTTTTACTTTGACATAATTTTAGGCATAGAGAAGTTGTGAAAATAGTACATTTTCAATATATCCTGTACCCATATTCTTCCAATGATAACAATTTACATAACCAGAGTACAGAATACAGTTACCAAATCCAGGAAATTAGTATTTGTGAAATATTATTGACTAGAATATAGAACTTATTTGTATTTTACCAGTTTTTACATATACTCGTTTTTGTGTATATTTTTATGTGAAATGTATTATCTTCAATATAAGTTTAATTTGCATTTCTCTTATGACAAATGAGTTAAATATCTTTTTATATGTTTAAACACAATTCTTTCATCTTTTTATGTAAATTATCTGTTCATGTCTTTTACCGGTTTTCATATCTGGTTTCTGTATTTTTTCCTCAAATTTTAACTGCTGTTTAAATGTTAGGAACATCAGCTCTTGATCTGTGATATTGCAGTAAATAATTTCTTTTAGCTTATCAGTTATCTTTTGACTTTTCCCATGATTAAAAAAAAAAAAGCTAAGTACATTAACAGAATTGTCAAACCATTTCCACAATTAGAATATTTGTATTACTTTTTTCCTGCAAATAAACAAACAAAATCTATAGCCATTAGAAGTCACTCTCTTTTTCCTCCCCAAATCAGTCATCTTTGGGCAAAGAGCAATATGCTTGCTGTCACTAAAGATTTTCCTATTCTGGAAATTTCTCTTTATATATTAATTAAGATAATTAGTTTAATGAAACATGATGCTTTAAACAGCTGTATTTTATTCTATGGTAATAATGTTTCATTATTTAAGTAATCAGTGATTATTAAATATTTAGGTTGTTTTCAAATTTTCCCATCATAAAGTCTACACTAGTTTAACATCCTAATGAATTATAACTACTTCTCTCTTAAAAGTTTAAAAATAAATTTTAAGAAACCAAATTTTTTGATAAAATGGCTAGATACATTTTGAAAGGCTTTGTCAAATTTTACTGAAAAAAAATTAGCATGTGTTTCCTATTTAAACTCCTTGCCAAAGTGGATGATAGTTCTAGTGTTTGGACCTTTGCCTAAAACTGTGATTAGAGATTTAAAAAAAAAATACTGTCTTATTTGAGAGGTACCTCTAAATCTTTAACTGGGATTCTAAACTATTTTTGATATTCATAATTTACCTGTGATGGACTGTCCATTCATCCATGCTTTGTGCCCATTCATAATTGAAATGGTTGTTTTTTATTTATTTTAAGAACTCTTTAAATGTAAAATATATTAATAAATTTCTGTCATGTATGTTGCCAATTTTTTTCCCACATTTGTTTTTTATTTTTGGTTTTTCTCCTTATGTTGTAAGGATCTGAAAACAGATATATAACTATTTTTATTGATCTTTTGTACTTTAATCTTAAGAAGTATAAATATTCTGTGTATATCTAAAGAAAATATCTTTTTTTTCTAAGTTCTTTCACTTTAGCCATTAATATATGTAGAACTTAGGACTTGTATAAATATTTGGGAGAACTCTGTGTTTCTCCACTTAACCAATCTGACATAGGCATCCTGTAAAGGGAACAACAATGATGCATTTTGGCAGGAGCATGTACTATTTCTTTTCAAAAAAAAATCAGTGAAAATTGCCCATTTCATATGTCCTACCAATTCATAAATACAAAAATTTATCATATTAATTTGTTTCTGCTTAAAATCACTGAAATCAATACATCACTAATTATTTAGTAATTTAGGATCTCACATATTAACCATTAATTATTTTTAACCTTAGAACATTTAGCTAAGTTTTTTTAAGGTTCAGGCAACCAGCACACTTTCCCATCCAAACTGATTTCAATTACAATTTGAAGTTGATTTGAATATGTATTTGTAAGATGATCTTAGCTTGTCCTTAAGTACTAAAAAAAAAGTAAAAGAATTTGAACTTGTACAACATAGTCTCCTTCAAAAACTGAGAAAAAAGCTAAAGCTATTTTTTTTATTTGTTTTTCCTTTCTGCTCCAGGTCTATAATTAGATTACAAATATTCTTGTTTCCATCAAAAAAAAAAATCAAAAGAAGCATTATTAATTAAAATAGAGTTGATCATCTGGCAGTTTTCTGAGTCAGCATTAAATTGTTAGGCGGAGCACACATCTATAATCCTAATATTTTGGGAGAACAAGATAGGTAGATCCCTTGAGGCCAGGAGTTCCAGACCAATCTGAGCAAAAGAGCAAGACCCCCCATCTCGACAAAACATAAAAAATAAATAAGTGTGTGGATGTGGTGGAGTGCTCTCATAGGCTCAACTACTCATGAGGCTGAGGCAGGAGGTAGAGTTTGAGACTGTGAACTATGATCATGCCACTGTACTTTAACCCAGACAACAGAGTCAGAACCTGTTTCAAAAAAAAAAAAATTGTTTGGCCAAAGATGTGTTTGGTCACATCTTAAGTGTTACTGACTCTACTCATTGCTATTTGAAATTTCCCTCAGGCAGAGAGACCCAAGCTACCTTTCTGCTTACACTTTCATCACATGAGTAAAGCAAAGCAGAATAGTAATGACACAGAAATCAACTGTCTCCTCCCCTAGTGTCCTTACGAATAGACTCACTAGCCAGATTGAAGAAGTAGAGCTGCTCTATGTCTGGTCTATCCATTTGCTGAAGTATGAACTTTAAGGAATTTAAGCTTGACCATCAGTTTGCATTATTGGTGTTGTGAGGCCAAGTCAATTTCAGTGATCTACTTAGTGCTAAACTTTGATTGTTTTAATTGAATACTTTCATTTTTTAACCTTTTGCAAATTTATATTTGCATAATACAGACTTACAAATTTAAAATTTCTATCCTTTTTTAATGTTTCCTTTTTGCTTTTTTTGCCATTTTAGCTTCCTCTTAAAAAAAATAAAACTATTGGTAACTAATCAGTTTCAAAGATTATAGTGAAAAAAAGTTTGCCTTTTTAACTAGAGTTACTTACCTTTTCTAACTTTAGAATATTGAAGGATACACTCTTGCCTCTACTATTTATTATCTGTGGGATTTTGATGGAATTACTTAAGCTTTCTGATCCTGTTTTTCTAGTCGATAAAATAGATTGAAAGCTGCTTATCTTTTAGGGCAGTAGTGAGAATTAACTGAGGTACTTCAGCTAAATTATAAAAACAATCAAGTGATTACGTGTACTTGCCATGTTACTGAGGAATTACTGTTACTCCATCTGAGATAGTGAATGGGGTTTCAAAGTATTCTGATGCTTGGAGGACTCAGGGACTCAGCCTTTGAGAAATCTTAGGACCTCCAGCTTGGTGGCACAGGTCTGTAATCCTAGCACTCTGGGACGCTGAGGAGAGTGAATCCCTTGTGCTCAGGAGTTCAAGACCAGCCTGAACAAGCGTGAGACCTGATCTCTACTAAAAATAGTCAGGCATCTTGGTGGGCAGCTATCCTTTCAGCTACTAGGGAAGCTGAGGCAAGAGGATTGCTTAAGCACAAGAGTTTTGAGGTTGCTCTGAGCAATGAGAGCACCAGGGCTCTCTAGCCTGGGGTAAAAGAGTAAGACTCTGTTTCAAATAAGAAGGGAAGTGGAAAGGAAGGGAGGTGGATAGAAAGGAAAGAAAGATGAAAAGAAAGATGGACAGGAAGGAAAGAAAAAAATTAGGACCAAAAAAGGAACTGGAAATTTAGAGTTTCAGAGTTTGAAAAAGTCTGGTTCTAGAAAAGCATTTATAATTTCAATTTAATTATTTATGCTAACAATATGTGGGAAAAAATCAATTGTTGTTATATTTGAATATTTGTTTCATTATTAACTTAATGGAAAGCCTTAATTCTATTGACTTAGTGTGAAAAAGCCAGAGTTTATAACTTTGTAATGTGAATGTTTTTAGTGGCAATAAAATAACATGCTACCAGAAAAGCAGGATACAGTGGCACACTGCTTTAATTTTAAGAAATTAGCATGAACTTATGACCATGAAAATGGTCACTTTTCTAACTGTAACTGAAAGCACCTTCATCTTCGCATCACTGGTACTCACATACGCCCCCAGGTGTCAACATTTTGATTTTTAATCCCAGTCACAAAAAGAGGAAACAGGATTTAGAGAAGACCTTATCCTATTCTTAGGGCAGAGATAATTCAGAATGGGTGTGGATGTTCTATTATTGCCAAAAAGCAAGAAGTTTTTTGAAGAATATCAAACCTATTCCCAAGTGGACAAAGAACCCTGTTGAAGAAGGCAATCACTGGCCAAGAGATGAAAATGTAAGCTTGAAATTCAAGTAATTAAAATAGTTTAAGTCTTTAAGAAGGTCATGAGTTCAGAATGAATGTAAGGAACAGGTTAAAATGAAGTGTTAATACGGTAGTCATTATGTAAAAAAAGGGTAATTGATGCTTTTTAAATTCATTTTATTAAATAGGATAGAATGCATGCATATATGTGTTTTATATGTACATACACATATGTCTTTGTTTCAAAGTTTAAGAATGCTGTGCATATAGTTATTAAACATAAGCATGATGAAAGCATATGCTTCAAATAAGAAGCAAATATAAGTATTTTGAGCTCATGAATTTTGGATGCAGGTTGCATATGTGCATGCATGTGTATGCATGTGTTTTTCTGTAGCCAGTCTGTAAGAAAGAGTGAAGAAGATTAAATCTGAGTGAGTCCGTCTCTATAAGAGCAGGAATTCTGCCAGAAATAGGACCAGACATTCTAACAGATGCCTGCTCACCAAACAAGCTAGCAGGTATTAACCAGGTAGAAAGATAGTCCCTCTGTTGATCACTTTTAGTGGTCATACACATTAACTAATTAGTATTATCTTTGGGGATAATAGTTTAGCCAAATGTCCCAAAAGAAATTTACTGGGGTAAACTTGAACCTTCATTTTCTAGTAGACAAAACTGTTAAATGACCAATCTAATAATTTAAATTTACAAATAAATCCAACAGAAGTTTGAATCATAATTAAAAAACTAGGTAACGATATAAGGATGAGTTAGATTGTATTGACCATTTTAAAGGTAAAGAACACATCTTTTCTGAAAATTGTATGAAAGAATTGGACTTAAAAGTTATATGGTGCAGCAAGTCAAATCATTCTGGACTATGCAAACCCTAGGTAGTCAGGCCAGACCAGCAATGGCAGTTGGTTTTTGAATTGGCATAATTATTGTCATTCTAGGAAGTTGTCATAGCTCACTATAACCTCAAAATTCTGGGCTTAAGCAATTCTGCCTCAGATTTTTTGGGAGCTGGGACTACAGGTGTGCACCACTACATCTGGCTAATTTTTTTTTATTTCTTGTAGAGACAGGGTCTTGTTCTTGCTCAGGATGGTCTAGAACTACTAGTCTCAAGCAATTCATTTTTAATGGAAATGTTTAAATAAAATATTTAAAAGAGTTGATCTGTCAGATTCCTAAGTTTTAGTTTGTTTTTATGTAAGCAGTGAGTAAACATCAAGGAATATTTGCTGTTTTAATGTTTAAAGGAATGTTGGGTGTTTAATGGAATTTCATGCCTATTATGTTGACCATTAAACAAAGTAAAGGAAATAGTGTGTTTCTCTTTGTATACAAAAGCTGAAGTGCTAAGGATGAGGATGATACAGATACCAGACAAAATGATAAAAATGATGGCGATCTCCTAAGAGCTTTGAGCTGTAGTTTAATTTGGCATATACAAAACTCTCTGATTTGTATATCTTTTTTTTTTTATTTAAGGATATTGATAGGAGAACACCATATACTTTTTCTAGCAATTACTGAAGGGGTCACCCTGTTCAAATTTTCATTCTATGTATGAGTTAAGATTTATAAGCCTTTGATATCTTTTGATTTACTCACATAAAACATTTAGAAAAATTAAATCAAAATGTTTTTCATAAAGCATCAAATGAATTATTTATCCTTATGTGATTCATGAGGAATCCTATAAAGGAGAAATACTATGATGCCTACAACTTTCTTTCAAATGGTAGAGTAAACCAAACAAAAAATAAACCAACTCAAACACTACTCTACCTCATGCATAATATATGTATTTTGAAAGAAAAAAAGTATATTTGGACAAATGCTGCCATTGTTGAACCTAGGTACAAAGTATATGGATGCTTATTGTACTATCATTTCAACTTTTCTGTGTGTCCAAAATTTTTAATAATGAAACTTGGGGATGAAAAGATGACCCTATGTGAAAAATAGGATTAGAAATAAAAGCAACTATAGATTTTGAATTTCACTTGTATTGTTAACATTTCTGAGAATTTACTGTGTGTTCTGGGCCCGATTTAGACACGTGGGACTTCCTTGTCAAAGTATTTTTAAATTTTTTTTATACTTATTTGGAAAACTTGCAAGTAATTTTGTAGAAATTAAAGCTATTTGCTGATTTTTAAAGCTTGAAATAAGGGCTTTATTAACTGTAAGTAGGCTTTATTGTACTTAATGTCTTTTAATCTACCTTGTTTTTAGTATTTCCTAATTTATTTATTTATTTTATATAAAATAGTGTTTTTTTTAAATTTCAGATAAATATAAAGGTATAAATAATTATGTTACATTGTTTGCATTTGCCAGGCAAAGTTCAAGTTGTAGTTGAGCCCTTCACCAAAGAGGTGTGCCGTATATGTGAGAGATCTTACCTAGTACTTCCTAATTTAGAGAGTCAATGCAATATAGTGGTAAGAACAGGGGGTTAGATTTCCTTAATTTTGGCATTGTAGGTATTTGGTTAAGCTATCTGAACTCCCTATGCCTTTGTTTCCTAAGCTATAAAACTCAGAGAAATAGAGTACACCTTATAAAGAAGTTGTGTGAATTTCTTGGATTAATAAATGTGATTCTTAGAAACCTGCTCTTCACATGGTAAACCTTCTATAAACACTAGCTATTCTGGTTTAAAAAAGCAGATAATATTGAAGGAGTCATTAATGTAACTTACGTCAGTAGTTTAAAGTCTCATAAATTGAGCCACACCTTGCGCTCCTTGGGTTCAGATTTCACATTGAACTAGACCTTGTACAATTTTGGTTTGAATTTACAGTTAACTGTATCTTCCATTTTCAGCAGCTGCCAGAATTGGTTTTAGAGTTGATGTAATTGCAACTTTAAGTTTGTTTATTAGCCTTATAAAAATAGTTGAGCAGATAGAGTAACCGAGGCTTGGCTTAGCCCCACTCTTTTTTTGGGCAGGACTGGGTCCAGGTTGAGTTTGCCTGTTTAATTAAAGAGTTTTATAGATGGCATACATAAGGCATTCTATCTCTCATCACTTCTACTCATGAAGTTCCTTATTTTGGTACTCTAAAAATCTGCTAAACATCCACACCTTAATATTAGGTACTGTACTAAGTGCTTTATATATACATTTTCTTATTTAATCCATACAGGAAACCTATAAAATTGGTTGTCTCATACCTACTTATATTAGGAGGAAAACTGTTGTCTGCAGAGTAATATGCTCAAGGTAACACAGCTACTAGTGGGAAATCTGTGCTTTGAAGCAGGGCTGATCATCTCACCACCTGAATGCTGTTAGCATCTTTACCCTTCTTAGCATCAAGGAAAAATATTGAAATAATTACATCTACTTGTAAGCTTATTTGTAAGGTTTGATCCTGTGATTCTGAAATAGTTGAGATAGAAGTATGGGAAAGAACACAGTCTTTGGAATAATGTACACCGAGGATTGAATTTTTTATATGCCATGCTAGTAGTTTGACCTCGGCCAGGTTCTTCAACCCTTATTTACCTCAGTCTTTTATCTAAACATAAGAATAAATATAATAGTTTTCACCCTATAAGATAGTCAGGGGTACTAAATCAGATAATCTAAACATAAAACATGACATATAATAAAGATTCAAGATAGAGTATCTCCCTTCTCATTAACTTGGACTATTTTCAGTTGGGATACATAGATGCTGGCCATTTTCTTTAGAAGAGAGTTCTCAGAAGGGCCATTTTTTTTCTCAAGGTTCTGAAAGCTCTGGCCCCCATGTTGGCCCCTTCATGGTGTATGCCAAAGCATTTTAGACAATCATATAAAGAAGTTGGCAAAATTTATATCAACTTACAAGGTGTGTGTTAGAGAAAAACATTCCTACAAAAGAATGGCAGAGTCCATACAGTCTTCTCAGACACAAACATATAGGTGGGGGACCTATGGCCTGGGAGCCACATGTGGCCTTCTGGGTCCCTGTGAAGCCTTTTGACTGGATCAAAATTTTCAGAATTTTCAAAATTTACAGAATGAATCTTTTATTAAAAGGATTTTTTCCTATGATGTTTGGATTTGATAGCAGGCTGGGCCCCATAATCCTTTAATTAGTTATTCCTTGCAGTGATTCTCAACCTGTGGGTTGGGGTTGAATGACCCTTTCACAGGGGTCACCTAAATACATCCTGCATATCAGATATTTACATTACAATTCATAACAGTAGCAAAATTACAGTTATGAAGTAGGAACAAAAATAATTTTATGGTTGGGGGTCACCACAACATGAGGAACTGTATTAAAGGGTCATAGCATTAGGAAGGTTGAGAACCACTACTCTCCAGAATTTCCTTTCAAATGATCATCATCATTAAGGTAATTTGCTGATTTGGCACTTATTCTTTCACATTACTGGGAAATAGGAAAATTACTAGGTAAACTATTCTAGGTAAAGTCGAGGTAAAGTACCAATTTTTCTAGGTAAAAACTAGTCTGATAATGATTATTTCCCATCTATATAAAGGGAACATTTCTTGGAAGATTACTATTATTTAGCTTTGTTTACATAACAATTTATAAAGTAAGAATGCCTTATATTTTCTTTCAGAGTGGCAATAGTCATTAGTTTTAAAATATTAATCCCTTTGATTAATTCTCCTTAAATGTAGATATTAGTGATCATGGGTTAGAACTGATTAGATTCAATAACTAGAATTCTCAAAATATTTAACTCAGCTCCATTTGATGGATGGACATTAATTTCCTGTCATATTAAATTAACTTCTCATGGAGTTTTAAACTGAAATGAGAATGGATTGAGTAAATTAACTAAGAAGTCACTGTATTGGACAGAGAGAGAATAAAAAATTTGTATTGTTTTATTTGTGTTTGGGGAGGTAGGAAAAAGCGTTATGGAGTGTGATGAAAAGCTTTCTTAATGAGTGGGAAAACAGCCCAGACTACACATGGATCTATAAACAAAATTGACTGACTATAAAATGAAATGACTTGAGATTAAAATGTTTTTCTAAGTACCAAGTATGGAAGGGTTATATACCAGAATTACTCATTGACTTGTAGGGAATAGAATGTTTAATAGTTGATGATTATACTTTTCTAGTTTAAAGAAATCATATAGATAAAACTAGAGATAGCATAGTACACTTAACTTTTATGGCTCTTCTTTAACTCCACATTTAGATGTAAAACTGTTGTTTAATATTTATTATATTGGAAAGGATCTGGCCTTTGCCCTAGGCTTCTGAGACATCATCTGTGTCACACCAGACAGGGATGTCTGTTTATTTAGAGTGAATCTGGATTTGGATTTAGACTAGATCATAGCGTGGAGCCAGACATACCAAGTGTTCTTGAAGTGGGGACTATTCATGCCAGAAAGTCCAACAGTGTGACCTAGGGTGAGGACTTTTGTTCATGTGGTGACAGTTGAGCTGGAGACTGAGTTCAACCACGTGGGTAATTGGTTAAGTATGCCTACATATTTGACATAGAAGTTTGGGTGAGCTTCCCTGATTAGTAATACTCTCTGAAATTGCAGCACAGCACAGCTGGAAAGTTAATGTGTCCTGATTTCATGGAGAGAGGACAATGGAAGCTTCATGTATAGAACCCTCCTAGGCTCTGCTGTATGTGGAGAGAGATCAAGGAGCAAATCCTTTGGCTGATTTCAATTTGTATCCTTTCTCTGTTATAAACAGAAACCATGAGTACAAAAGCTTTCAGAAAATTCTGTGAATCCTTCTAGTAAATTGTTCACCTGAGGGTGACTTAGACATACACTTCCTCTAAACTTTCCGTTGGGGTAAGAAGTAAGGGCCATCTTGGGGACTATGGTTTCAAAACCCACAGTTTGGCTAACTCCAGGCTTTCATAATAAACATTATAAGCATCATTAACCATGACTTGCTTTCTGAATTTTCTCAGCCTAAATTATATTCAGTAGAATTTTATCATTATTTGGGCATATTCTATGTCTTATGAAGAGATAATCAAACACTCAAGTAATACAATATTTATTGGTTGCCTACTAATTGTGTCTAGCTGACAGATATAATAATTTTATTTTCTATTTAACTGATAGGAATATGTCATAGTATCACCCACAATCTGCATTATGATTATACTGTGCTATGTAAATAATGTACTTTTTCATTAGGTGATACAATACAAATATTTGAGTAAAGTAGTCATATCCTTTTTCCAAATCCATTTCACGTTTTTATATTTTTAGCATAGGCCAAATTAAATAAAAGTTTGAAACTTTTTTTCTGTTTGGATTTTCCCTAACGTTGTCTTAATAACCTTTAAATAGTAAGACTAATTATTTTGTTATGTCCTTATCAATTGTAGTAAATTGAGTCTGACAAGTAAGTTGGTTCCATTTGATTAGCCTCCACTCATTCTGTTTCAGCCATTGTTATTTGTTGGGAAGTAAGATTGTAGAAACCAGCTCTCCCATGAAGTGGAACATTGCCAACTCTATTGAGGGAAAATAAATCATATCATAGTTATATTTCAAATTCATTATTAATAGCACCTTATACTGTTGGCTTCAGCCTACAATAGGTAATTAAAAACAGGTCAGAAAATGAAGAGTGTAAATTAAAACACTGGGCCTTTAATTACAGCTGCACAAATGGCAGCACTAGAGTTATAGAATTGTTAAAAATCAATTAAGGAATGTTGCCACCTGATCTCCCTGCACATAATCTGTTTAATCAGTTAGTCTGTTTTTCAAATCAAGTATTCCTAGAAATGGCATTAGCAGCATGCCATTTTCTTTGGAAGGGGTAGTCCAGAGATTTTTTTTTTTTTTTTTGGCCCCACTTTTTCAAAAGAACTAAGGAATTAATAAATAAACATGTACTGCT